AAAAAGGGTATATACTTTATTAAATTATATGATTAATTAATTAATCTTATATTAAATTATATGATTTTAATTAAATCTTACGATTTTAATTGAATTACATGCTTTGAATTGAATTATATGATCTCAATTAAATTATGATTCCAATTAAATTATATGATCTCAATTAATTATATGATCTCAATTAAATTATATGATTTTAATTAAATTATATGATTTCAATTAAATTATATGATTTCAATTGAATTATATGATCTCAATTAAATTATACGACTTCAATTAAATTATACGATTTCAATTAAATTATACGATTTCAATTAAATCATATGATTTTAATTAAACAATATATTTTTAATTTACACATCATAAAGTACTGTATTCAAATACATGAAGAAAATCAAAGACACACGGCATAACTACAATAATTCGTACACTTTCCAAAGAGATTGCAAACTAATTAATCATCTAACAAACCGATTAATTCATAGGGAAAACAATATAGATCATTTTAAAGACGATACCCTATCCAAATCGTTCGAACACCAGAACAAAGCGCATACGTTCCGACGGCAAATAAATCGCGCGAAATTAGCGCGAAGAATTATAGGGAAAGTTCATATCCAATCTCAGAGAGAAGGTATCGATTGCGCGGAACGATAAACAAGGGAAAAACCGTCGAATGTAAACGCGTTTTACGGACGTCCGCGGGCGGGCGTTCGCGCACAGTTCCGCGATTTGTGGAACGGCAATGTTTTACGTAATTCCAGGTATTTATGTGTGACCATTGTCGTAGCTTACCGACTGAAAAATTGCCTCGGCCTCGGGCCGCGCGCGTTTGCGTGTGCGTGTGCGTGTGCGCGCGCGTGTGCACCGGCGACGAAGCGAACGTGATCGAGGTTGGTTGGTCAACGAAAAACGAAACGAAACGAAACGAAAGAGAGCAGCGGAAGAGAGACAAAGAGAGAAAAGAGAGTAACGAACCGTTTCCATGAATCGGCCGTTCAATTAACCCGCTAAGATCCCGGACGTGTTCGCGAACGCGATGGCGTGCGATCGCTCCGATCCGAGGCAATTTTGAGTTATGCTCGCCCGCCCAGTTCGCGTAATTGAGTCGTGCTCGACTTTGAAAGACACGAGCCCACCCCCAGCCCTCCATTCGGGGGGGATAACACGTTCTTAAATATCGCGTGATCGCGGATTTCCGTTCGCCGATTCGCGATTTCGTCGACTGTTATTCCCGATGATCCTTTTTTCCGCCTCGCTCGCATGCCAGATCTCAACGTTCGTTGGACGTTATTGCTATAAACGAAGTGCATTCGTTTCTTCGTTACCGTCGCGCCGTTTTTATTGGCACGTTCAGCGCGTTCAGCGGCGAATATCGGCCACAAAAATGGCCACGATGTCGGAGTCCGTTAAAGCAATATATTAGGTCGAGTTATAAATAACTCTTGTGAACTCTGTTCTTTTATTTTTATTTATTTTCGTTGGTTTCTTTTTTATTCTTTTTTTATTTTGGACCCTCGTTTATTTAGTGAAAGCGAAAACTCGTTTTAAAACTAGTTTTATTAGAGTCCGATATACGATATACAACGTAATCTTCTAATTTTAATTTTTTGTGATAAAATACTTCAATTTGATAATGTTTTACAGAGAGGTCGCTACGGCGTGGCAATAAAAATCTCTTAACGAAACCGAATGCTCGATGAAGACTCACCCTCGATAACAGGTCGCTGTGGCTTGTAGGACATGTCTGAAAAGAGAAAGGATTAATATTAGTGAAATTAGTCACGGTATGTACAAATAAAAGGGTTAAGAATTGATTAGTGGGAGACGTTCGCTTTTAAGCGAGCATTAAACCACCGCCACGTGTCTCGTATACTCGACCTAAAATGTGTCTCGCTATCGTACAGTCGTTTAACATAGATAACGGTGCATTTATCTTGCAGAAATGTCAGCGAGAACGTCGGAATAAACCAGACTCGCAATCGCAGCTATCAGTTTCATTGCTGCATAATTTCCAAGGAGCATTTCGCAATCGTTTCAAACGATTGTTTCGAATAACTATCCTGGGCAATTGTTTCAGATAATTGTTTCAAAGAATTCTATCGAACGGTTATCTAATACAATTCTTTCAGATGTTGTAATTGTTTCGAACAATTATTTCAAATATTGTGATTATTTCGAACAATCGTTTCAAATGTTGTGATTATTGCAAACAATTATTTCTAATATTGTAATTATTTCAAATAATTATTTCAAGTATTGTAATTACTTTAAACACCTTTCCCAAATATTGTAATTGTTCTAAACAATCATTTCAAATATTGTAATTATTCCAAACAAACATTACAAATATTGCAATTATTCCAAACAATCATTTCAAATATTGCAATTATTCCAAACAATCATTTCAAATATTGTAATTATTCCAAACAATCATATCAAATATCCTAATTATTCCAAATAATCATTTCAAGTATTCTAATGATCTCAAACAACTATTTCAAATATTATACTTATTTCGAGCAACAATTTCAAACACTTATTTCCCACAATTATAACATAAAATATATATTATAATTTAAAACAGCGCGTCAAATAGCATCATTAAAAAAGTGATCCCAGTTCCGGGAATAATTATGAATCGAAACAGCGTGTTATTTGAAGCATTATTACAAATACAACGTGGAACGTTTTTTACCGGCCCGAAGGAGACCGATACAAAACAAACAGACCGTTCGACCGGGCCAACCGGAAGTATCGTGTTGCACGCGCACGGTATGTGTGTACATACATACACCGACGCAACAAGAAAGAAGATTAAGTTAAATCCCCCCGGTGAAAAGGAGCTCCATTGCAAGATCCAACTACAATTTCGTGTTCGGGGCGTTATACTCCCCGGGTCACGAACTTTCGTCGACTTTGTCGCGGGCCCCGAGACAACTGTAATTAACGTCTAAGCGCTAATCAGCCCGATCCGAGGTTTCACGGGACAACGAGACTCGAGGCGGGAAGACTTACGTGAATCGAGGTTGAGGCGGACGGCGGCGCGTCGGTACAGGCCGGGCCGGGCCGGGCCGGGCCGGGGCAATTTCGAGGAGCAAATAACAGGGAAATTCAGGGTCCCCGGAGTTGCGCAACATGCTAGGCACTCCCTGACGTTCCTCTCGAGAAACTTTTAATTATCCTTTCCTAGGCTTCCTTTAATGAAGAGGTTCCGCATCCGTTGCGCCTGCACGTATGACGTTGAAAATAATTACAAGTTTCTGGATGAATTCCGGAACAAGGCGAGCACCGGCGACAACGACCACGTCGACAACGAGGACGAATGCTTACACCGGTGTGCACCTACTCGGCTGGTATCGATGTTCGCCCTCGTTACGTTATGGCCCGTATCATAGACACGCCGCGAACAATACCGCTCAACGGGCAGAATTTACGATGAGCCGCCGCGGCGGACCTTTCGTTATTTCCGGGGCCCGGAGGATCCCGCCCCCCTGGCAAGAACCGGCAAGTTTCTTCGACCAGAAGCCCGCGAGCTTCTGCCAGACCGCTAACTTTTCTCCGACACGGTCATTGTTATTAGAATACACAATAGGGATGGGAGGGGTGCGACAGCGTTACTCGCGTGGAGGTCAGAGTTCCCGCGGCGCCCTGGCGAAATGTAACAAGTTCTGGCGAATAATGCGGCTCGCATGGTCGATAGTTTTCCTCCGCGTCGAAACGGTTATGCTTCCCCTCGAGGTAATCATTTTTCGAAAGTATTTTTATACTGTTGAACGTGAATAACAATCAAGGCTGTGGTCGCACGATGAATAAGCCCTTTTTCCTCTTTTAAGAGATTACCAGAACCGAGAAACCTGGGATCACTGCGACCGTGGAGAAAACGGTACGTCAGATGTACTGCGCCTATGTAATTGGCGAATTGTCCTCGAATTGACTTCGAATCGTGATCACGTGGCCATCAAATTGCCTTCGAATTGTCATAGAATTGCCTTCGAATTGTCTTCGAATTATCTACGAATTGTCTTTGAATTGCCTTCGAATTGTCTTCGAATTGCCTTCGAATCGTGCCACGTGGTCTCCGAATTGCCTTCGAATTGTCTTTGAATTGTTTTTGAATTGCCTACAAATTGTCTTTGAATTTCCTCCGAATTGCTTTCGAATTGTCTTCGAATTGCCTTCGAATTGCCTTCGAATTGTCTTCGAATTATCTACGAATTGTCTTTGAATTGCCTTCGAATTGTCTTCGAATTGCCTTCGAATCGTGCCACGTGGTCTCCGAATTGCCTTCGAATTGTCTTTGAATTGTTTTTGAATTGCCTACAAATTGTCTTTGAATTTCCTCCGAATTGCTTTCGAATTGTCTTCGAATTGCCTTCGAATTGCCTTCGAATTGTCTTCGAATTGCCTTCGAATCGCCTTCGAATTGTCTTCGAATTGCCTTCGAATTGCCTCCGAATTGCTTCCGAATTGCCTCCGAATCTTGTCACGTGACCTCAGAATCGCCATCGAATCGTGTCACATGACCTCCTAATCACCGTCGAATCGTGGCAAAAGAATTAAAAATAAAAAAAGTCTAAGTCACCGCGCGCCCGAAGAATCGCGACTTAGTATTCTCGGATTTGCCGGTTTCAGAATCCCGACAAAATCCGGCATCTTGGATCGCTCGGATGCTGGGGAACCCCGGCGACAACTTAATGTTTGTGTGTGCGTCCCGGGCTCGGCGTGCCGGCGGAAAAACAAGAAGGTCTTCCGGTGTGCCGGCGACAAATATGTATTTTCGGGAGCGAGCGAGCGTTATTGCGGCGCAGCTGCGGGCGGGACCGGCTGAAGCCCCGTCGACGTTGATATGAATTGCAACTAACGTACGCCGTCGGAACGCAATAATTCTTGCAATTAAATATACGTTACGGGGCCGGAGGATATATTTTTTTTTTTTTAAGCGGCGCTGTTTTGTTGCCGGCTGGCCCGCCTGAATATATTAACGCGGAAATATCGTTCGCTCGCCGGTGTAATTCGTCACGCATATGCATTTACGGTAATCCACACACACACACGCACGCACACCGCCGCGTTTCGTGGGAAAACGATTTTTCGAGAGGGACAAATGCATTTTAAATTTCCGCCGTCGTGTTCGAAACACGCGCGCGCGCGAGGGTAGCGCCGGAAAGAGAAACGTTTGGAAAAAAATATCGGCGGCGAGGGACGGATTAATATAAAAATCAATGGAACGGAAACGCGGCCGTTCAATCCGGCGAGAAACCGTCGAAATCTCGCCGCGGCCCGCCGAAAGACTGTGTTTGCCCGCCGGGGCCGAGAGAGTTTCGCGGAAACGAAGCGCGCGCGAGCTTCGGAAATTACTTGTTGTAATAACGATGTAATTACGCCGCGCGCAACGATTCATAAGGACTACGAGCACAATTTCGCATAGGTACGCGGCGGTCCCTCGATAACGGTCAAATTTTATTCCACCCCCGCGCCGGAAAACCGGGATTTCATTACCTACGCGAGATTGTTTCTTAATTAGAGTCGTTCGTCCGCGCGCGCGCGCGCTGCGGAATCAACCGGTTTTGCATCGTGATTGTCGCCGGATACGAGATGTTTCATTACCGCGGGACCGAAATTTAGGGGCGCGTTGGGCCCGCCGAATATTCGGCAACATCTCGACGGCCTCAGTTTTATTCTGATTTTTAAGATGACAATGATGATTTTCATTTCTCCAGGCTATTTTGTGAAAAAAGAAAAACTTGAACGCATAATTATTTTCTTTTTATGTATCTTCGAGTTTCATTGTATCTTCGAGATTTATTGTAAGAAGTACGAGTTTTAGAACTTCAGGAAAATTTTAACAATTTGATACTGTTTATGTGCTGTTTTTAACTTAATAAAATGATTGAGGAAAGAAAGAAGTTGTTGTTTGACTCTTCTTTACTGGAATCGATGAAGAAACTTTTGCTTTTGTATAAAGATTCGCTGTTTAATTATAAAAGTTGCGCAATGTTGAAGACTGTATAATGGAAAGATTGTTGGTCCTCGAGAATGTAGGATTAATTAATTTGAACTGTAACATGCGATGTAGGAATTGAAGGTAAGATGGGCCGAATGTGAAAGCTGGTGTAAAAGGAGGAAACATGTAATCCCAAAACAGTTTGGCAAAAAATAAATAACTCGGTTAAGATAGAATAAGAATAGTTGGAATAAAAAATATAGAATAAGTTACAAAAATTAATTAACTCAGTCAAGACAGAATAAGAATAAAAATATGTAATTGGAATTATATAGAAGAAGTTACAAAAGCTAAATAACTCAGTCAAAATAGAATAGGAATAATTTAAATAATATAGAATAAGTTACAAAAGCTAAATAACTCATTCAAGATGGAATAGGAATAATTTAAATAATATAGAATAAGTTACAAAAGCTAAATAACTCATTCAAGATGGAATGGGAATAATTGAAATAAAAAATATAGAACAAGTTACAAAAGCTCAATAACTCAGTCAAGATGGAATAAGAGTAAGAATAATTAGAATAATNATGTAATCCCAAAACAGTTTGGCAAAAAATAAATAACTCGGTTAAGATAGAATAAGAATAGTTGGAATAAAAAATATAGAATAAGTTACAAAAATTAATTAACTCAGTCAAGACAGAATAAGAATAAAAATATGTAATTGGAATTATATAGAAGAAGTTACAAAAGCTAAATAACTCAGTCAAAATAGAATAGGAATAATTTAAATAATA